TTTACTTCTTTCCAGCCACTAGGGCTCGTGGCAGTACCAGCATAGAGAGTTTTGTTTAATTGTTTGAGTTTTCCATGTCTTCATTTCTAGAGAATAAGCTGCTAAGACTAGGACTTTCTGTTTGGTAGATTCATTCTCTGTCACTGTTGTTGAGAGCTATCGAGTCAGTTCCCACTCACAGGGACCCTGTATAGGGTTTCTGAGGAGAGGTTGGTGGATTTGAATCCCTGACTTTGTGGTTAGCAGCCCAGTGCTGCTCCTACAGTGCCACATCAGGCCTCTATACATAAATTCATCCATACATTTATCCACTCAAACACAGAATAAAAACTTAATACACACTGAGTAAATGAATGTACAAATAAAGCCAGGTTATCCCTTGCCAGAATTGTCATGTCTAAGGGGATAAACTTTCCAAGATAAGAAATTTGATTTCACTCAATAGACATCAGCGTACAGAGATACGTGACTCCCAGAACTGCATCGCGTAACTAGAATCCTAAGAGACTGCCCACTGCTACTGAGGTGATTCTGACTTTCAGCGACCCTATAAAACACAACAGAACTGTTCCTTAGGGTTTCAGAGCCTACAAAACTTTATAGGAGCAGAATCCTCCCTCATCTTTCTCCTATAGAGCTGCTGGTGGCTTTGAAGTACGGCGATGTGGTTAGCATCCCAACACTTAAACCTCTGTGCCACCTGGGTACCTTCATAACAGATTACTGGATGAAGATGTAGGCAACGTGTAGCTCAGAATATATGACATAGGTTTAATAGTAAGTATATCAGTTTATGCCTGCTCACAGAAACTGGCAGATCTGCTAGGGAAACACACTTGTAATTTGTAATGTAGTGTAATGGTCATTCAGTTACAGGTATTGCATTATCTTCCGAGAATGTGTGTTAAATACAGCTCTCCGAAGAACAAACATCATCCCCAGGGAGACAGACTAACATTCATTTGCAGTACTTCCGGATTTTGATTCCCAGCTTCAAACTACCCCCCAGTTCTTCCTTGCTTTGGGATCACAAGAGGTTAATAGAAATACAAATAATTACAATCATCATATGGCATTTAGCAGTAGCAATGACATTTAAGGAAACATTGAGACAGTAAAATTTTAATTTAAAAAAAATTGCATGTCCCCTTAATATTTTTTTCAATGAATCTAGCATCGTAAACTTTTTAATCCTCATCTCTTGATACTGAATTTACCATGCTTTCTGTTGTCTGCAGTGTCCACTCTAGTAACGGATTTCAAAGGAGAAAAACAATCTTTGGAAGCTTAGCTACTCTAAGTGAAACAACCAAAGAAATGTCTATCTCGGTTTTTATAATCCTAGATTTCCTGTAAAGGTAAAATGCTTGTTAACAATGTGTAAGTGTATGGGAAATGCATAAAAGAGCCGGCCAGTTCTATCCTTCCTCCCTAAATTTGAACATAACAATCAAACTATTAGAAAAGACAAAGTTACAAAGAAGGAGACTTACAAAGAAAGAAACAAGCGTAGACTACAAGGATGACTATGAAAGCTTGTAGGGGAAGGGACTGAATAAACAAAACAAAGTAGCTGTGCTCAGAATACTGTGGATATCTTAAGAGAAGATTCTGAGCACAGCGAAAACTAACAGGAGTTGCAGAATGAATTAGAAGTAACAGCAAAATATATCCTCTTCAATGGTAAAACGTATGGATGACAGACACAGGACCCACAAGTATCTCTAAGTTGGGTGGGTTCTTTATTAAAGTCATATCAATAAGTTTTTGCTCTTGTTAAGTGCTGTCAAGTCGATTCCAACTCAAAGCAATTCTGTATTGTGTTTCTGAGAGTGGCTGGTGGGTTTGGACTGCCGATCTTGTTAGTCGCCCAGTGCTGTACCAGGATTCCTATACTATTTTAAAGAAGGGAGATGAAAAACAAACTAACAACTGACTAACTCTATAATTGATAGAGACAATCTACCTTGATGGAAATGCTAAGAGAAACATTATCAGAGAGAGTAGTTAATCTTACAGTCCAGAAACAAAGGACCCTAGTTCCATTAAGAGAGACGAGCACAAGCAGAATGCGAGACCTTATCCAGAGAAGTAGCTACACCAGAGATGGAGGCAAAGATGGAGACATGGAGAGAGGGAGCAGCTGAGGACTGTAGATTCATGGGAAGAGACTGATTAAGGGGCGATGGCCAGGAGACAGACTTGCAGAATGTGCCCTTTGGTGGTGTAAATTATTACATATGCCTGAGTGTTTAAAATAAAAAGAGCTAAAGTGAATAGAGGGAAATACTGTTAACTGATGGTATATGGAGGGGATTATAATCATTGTAATGAAACAAGGTGAATGATTTGTTGGATATAAAACTGATGATCTGCTCTGTAAACTTTTATTCAATCCACAAATAAAAACCTTAAAAAACAAACAAGCAAACAAAAAAGATGATCAGATACTGTTCCTTTCTAAGCTTGGTTGTTTTCCTATCAGTGATGGTGCCTTTTCTCCTCATGTCAATACTCTAAGGTAATTAAAGGTTGTTGTTGCTCTTGGTAGTGCCCATCTAGTTGGCTCGGACTCATGACCACCTTGTTGTGTTGTTAAGTGCCGTGGAGTCAGTTTGCACTCAGAACGACCCTCTGAGGCTTCGCCGCAGCAGAAAGCCTCATCTTTCTCCTGCATAGTAGCTGGTGGACTTGAACTGCCGATCTTGTGGTTCACAGTCCAATGCTTATCCTATGGAACCATTGTGTTTCCATGACAACCTTATAGACTTGTAGACTATGACAAAAGTTTGCCCAGTTATGCGCCACCTTCATGACTGCAGGCGAAATACAGCTACTGTATAGTGCTTCCACCCTGGGGGGGTTGCCTTCTAGCACTATATGGAACCATGTTCTTTTGTGATCCAGACGATCTTCACTGGTTAATTTTTGGAAGCAGACTGCCAAGCCTTGTTTCCTAGTCTGTCTGAATCTGGACGTTTCGTTGAAACCTGTCCTCCAAGGCTACCTTCCTGTATTTAAAATACTGGTGGCATAGCTGCCAGCATCATAGTACATGCAAGCCACCACAGTATGACAAAATGACAGATGGGTCTTCAGACTCATCAACGTAATTTGGAAGAAGAGTATGAATGGAAAACACAGGTTCTCAGTTGCCCACAAAAGGATGAATATTTACAAAAAGAGTTACATTCTCTGCGACAACTGTAAAACACTCCATCACACCAACTGGAGAATTACTTAGTTCAAGAAGCTTCACCATTCAGATATGTCAAAATCCCTGGAGGAGTTATTCCGGTCAATCACTTGTACCTAAATTTCAATTGCTTGGGGCTAACCTTACCTAACTGAGATTTGTAGGCAGCACAATATTTTACAAAGAAGGGGGAAAAAGTCTTTCAGCAGGACAGGTCACCAGAAGCCCCATCACTGCTTTCCCTTTGTCCACTCTCCCATTTCAAACACTCTGCCTAAATGACCCCTCTTGTTTGGGCGGAAATAGAGCTAAGTTGAGAGGCGTCTGATATTAGAGCAGGGTAAGGTTAGGTGGGATGTCATAAGTAGAAAGATGAATGGCAGGAAGCGTGAAACACAAGGTAGGTGTAAGGACCAGCAAAGCACTTTCCTATTCATCACGTTACTCCTGCTTTGGTTGTGGATGTTTGATACCCAGATTTGTTTGTAAGACGAAAAGTCTCAGGCGACCTCAGTTATGCCTCCTATAGTCAAATCATCTTCAGTTCAGCTTAGTGAGTTTTAAATCATTTAGTTCCTGACTCGCCCCAGATTTTGAACATTTTTTTCTCACTCCAAAGAAGAAAGAGAAAATGAAGACAAGCAGAAAATAGTGGAGTAAGAAGAAAGAAACCGAGAACTGTGTTTCATTTAATGGTTACTGACAGGAGACCACAGTGTTGTTATAAGACCTTCGTTCCTTGCCATCTTATTATGAGGATTTCAAATTCCAGAATGCAATATATATATACCATCTATGTATCTAGCTAGCTAGCTAGCTATCATCTATCTATCTATCGTCTATCTGTGCGTGCACACACACACTTCTATCACTAAACAAGACTCGCTACATAATTTGTGGGACCCAGTCCTGGTGTGCTACTGTACAATAAGTACTAAGCACTGGATTGCTAACCAAAAGGTTGGCAGTTCAACCCCACCAGTCACTCCTTGGAAACCCTATACAGATTCTCTATCAGTTGGAACTGACTTGATGGCACTTAACTATGATAACAGTGCAAAATGAAAATGTGAAGGCCCTTGCTTTAATAAATGAAGAATTGTAAATTAAGCTGGGTCTCTTATAATCCAGGGAACTTCTGTAACTGCACATGCCAAGCACCCACGAATCCAGCCCTGGTTAAAACGACTTAAGAAATAGTGGATTTAAAACCAACAGCTGTTTGCAGCCGTACTTCTCAGAGTCTTTTGTATGCTACTGGTCACCATGAATCTTCAACACACTGACTGTGTAGCTGTCTCTCTATCTGACCCAAAGCTCTTTGTAAATTATTGCTCTGTAATTATTCTGGTGTGGCACTGCAGGTTAATGCATGGGACTGCAAGGTCACCAGTCGCTCCTTGGAAGCCCTATACAGGGTTGCTATGAGTTGGGACTGACTTAACAACATTTAACAACAACAACAACAGGATCATATTGTAAGTCCCATGTTCCACAGAACATACACTGTAATATGGAGTCTTGGCTAGTCGGCAGATTGTGTCTGCTTTAACATCACTCAGTTACTCATAATTGTGTGCACGTATCTCCCACATTTGGAATGAAGCAACTAGAGATGACTATAGATGAAAACAGTGTGAATTCACGAAATCCTTCACCATGTGGTAGGTCACCTCAGTGGCCTAACGTCCCAAATATGTTCTGGACAACTGCCCTAAAGCTGGTTGAACTGAGACTGTATCACAAGGCAATTATTTCCATCCCTTTATCTTGACAATTCAAAGCAAAGAATAGCGTTACTTACCATTACCCAGCTCCCAAGAAATGTTGTATTTTTTGCTGGCGCTGTACTTCAACAGACTCAGGGCACTAGAACTGTTCCAGGAGTTATTGGGATTCCGACGTACTGCGTTTAGAGCAAATATCAGGTGGAATCCAGAGCAATCAGCAAAGTTATAGAGTTTGTCTAGAGACCTGGCTGGGAAGAAGCAGAGAAAGGCTTGTAACTTTCAAATCAATATTCCAAGAAAAGGAAAATATTAGCTACTATAAAAAGCCTTTCTATGACCTTCCTGTTAATAGGAAATTAGAGAGGCACTTAAAAGGGACTATTTTTAGGTTCAGGGTACATTTCAAGGTGATTTTAGC